TCAGAGCGACAACGGGAGGCGCACTTCGTGTTATTGTCCCACTGTGGGTTCAGTAGCGGCCACGGGGCGCCACTCGTGTTATTGGCACACTGTGCGGTTCAGAGCGGACAACGGGGCGCACTCGTGTTAGTGCACACTGTGGGTGGCAGCGCGGACACAGGGGCGCGCACTTGTGTTATTGCAACACTGTGGGTGTTCAGAGCGGACCACGGGGGGTAGGGCACTCGTGTTTATGCACACTGTGGGTTCAAGATGCGGACACGGGGCGCACTCGTGTTATGCACCACTGTGGGTTACACTGAGCGGAACACGGGGCGCACTCGTGTTATTGCACCACTGTGGGTTCAGAGCGGACCCGGGGGGCCCACCTCGTGTTATTGCACACTGTGGGTTCAGAGCGGGACACGGGGGAACTCGTGTTATTGCACCACTGTGTGGTTCAGAGCGGACACGGGGCGCACTCGTGTTATTGCACACTGTGGGTCACGAGCGGACACGGGGCGCACTCGTGTTATTGCACACTGTGGGTTCAGAGCGGACACGGGGCGCACTCGTGTTATTGCACACTGTGGGTTCAGAGCGGACCCGGGGTGCACTCGTGTTATTGCACACTGTGGGTTCAGAGCGGACACGGGTGCATTCGTGTTATTGCACACTGTGGGTTCAGAGCAGACATGGGGTGCATTCGTGTTATTGCGCAGTGTGGGTTTGGACACGTGTGTGATGACGTGTACTCACGTTCATAGTGTAAACCGTTTGCACTGCCCTGGAAACCCTCTGTGCGAGGAGGCTTTTCTGCGCATAGATAAGGCTCCGCCGTGTTCAGTGGCCCCGGGATTGTGGGGTTGGAAGTGGGGCCAGGGGGAGACAGAAGTTTCCAGGGAGAGTCGGGGGTGGAGCAAGGCCCAGGGGTCCAGATGGGACTCCAGCAGAGCATGGAGTAACGTAATCGGACCGTGTTACATGTGCTTAGGCCCCCCCGGAAGTCCCCTGGGTGGGCAGCCCGGAAGGGTGGGAAGGGATGCTGGGAGCTACGCCATCCGCAGCACCCGCCGGCTGCCCTGGCTCCCCACCCCCAATCACACCCGAAATTCCAGAGAGGAAGGAGGGCAGGGCTGTCTGGCGTGGAGCACTGGGGAGGTGGCTGGGAAGTTCTGCAGAGAGCCAGCCGCCTGGGCCCTGGGGAAATGGGACCCAGCAGCAGGGGTGCACCTGAGGCCCAGCGGCGTCTGGCTTCCCCTGGAACCTGGACAGGACTTCTCCCCTTCCAGCGAATGCTGAGACCCCTCTCAGGACAGCGTGCTGTCTCGGGCTGGTCCCCGGGCACCCCTTCACCCCACTGTCTTGTTTCCCTTGGGGCTGGGAGGCAGCCCCCCAGCCTCAGCCCCGCTTTCAACGGGGAGGAGCTGGGGCAACCGATGCCTCCCTCCCCCTGGGAGCTGCCTGGGAACCGGCTCAGCTCTGCCCCTCCTTCCACCGCCGGTTCAGAGCAGTGACCACAGCGGTCCGGTCCCCTGAGAAGGGTTGTTTCTCTCCCTGCGCAGGGGGCGTGGAGGCCACTGCAGCCTGAGGTCTGGCTCAGACCAAGTCCACGCTCCCCTGTGTGCTCCCCACAGGCCCCTGCGGGTGGCTCCCGGGCACCTGCTGTCCCTGTGCCCCCTCTGGGGTGCCCCAAGGCCATGGCTCGGCAAGGTGAAAGGACCCAGGCGGCAGTTTCGACCCCCAAACGCTTTGGGGGACCTCTGGAAGGAGACCGCAGGCTGGGAGCTGTGCCCGGGGCTGGAGGAGGACAGCGAAGGGGGAGGGAACCGCCATCAGAGTCCTTCGGGTGCTCCAAGGCGGAGATCACGGAGAGAAACCTCCAAGGGTTGAGCTGCTCTGGGTCTTTCCTGGGATGAGGGCAGCAGAGAGGGGCAGTCCGACAAGAGACCCACGTGCTCCTCATGGCTGCACTGCACCCTTCACACGCTGGGCTCCGGGCTGAGTGCGGGTGCCCACCCTTCCGCGGCAGCCCTCTCCTGGGGGGAGGGGCCCAGCTGGAGACCCCGGCCTCCTTCTCTGGGGAAAGCCCAGCAGGACTAGATGAGCACCTCCCGGGAGCGGGGACTACAGCCCGAGGCTCTTGGATCCTGCTCAGCGTGGCCAGAGGCCAGGCCTGCGGAGCCCTGATGGGCACACACAGGTGCAGGGAGAGAGGCGCCAGGGCCAGCAGGGCCAGCTCCGTGGCTTCCCTCCGAGGTGGCCGGCTGCGACCAGGCCCCAGGGAGGCTGAGCTCTGCCCTGGGGACGAGGATCAGCCAGTCCCGACCTGAGGACGAGGGGGAGCGAGGCAGGGCCGGGCAAGGGGAAGGCGGGCACTGGGAAGGTTTGGGGCGAGCCAGCCCCTGCTGAGAGGCGGCTCCCAGAGCAGGGCACTCTGGGTGTGCCCCCTCCCCCCACCCCCGTCCCAGCCGATCTGGCCCCAACCTCTCTTGGATGTCATTCTGGTGCCCTTGCTCACACTGTCGTCCCTAACATTCTGGACGTGACTGGTCCTGTCTGGCAGCTGTCCCTTCTGTAAGCAGCAGGCTGTCCTGCTGTCCGGTCAGTGCTGAGGGCTGCCCACCCCAGCAGGAGCCCCTGCTGCAGGGCGGTGTTCTCTCCAGTTCATCAGAAGCAGCTGGGGCCCTGGTGTGGGGGAGTGTGGCGGGGTGCTCTGGGGACAGCCCACTGAAAGGGCACTTCATCCTGAGTGAGCGCGCTGGGTCGGCTGCTCTCTGGACGTGTCTCACGAAGCCGACTGGTGGACGGGAGGGGGATGGGCACGGGTTACAGTAGGGCCTTGGTGGGGGCAGCTGGGTGTCCCGTGTGCAGTTCTTCCCACTTCCTGTACACGTGCCGATGTCTGTAAGACGATGCTGGGAGAGCCCCGGCCGGGCGGAGGGCAGGGTGGGGACCGGACAGCCGGGCGGCAGTCCTCAGCAGCCCCGTCTGAGCCTGCAGCGCGTCTTGTTTTCCTGTTGTCCTTTTCACCCACAGTCTAACACCTTGAGTGGACAGCACCCCCTGCCGCTAGCAGAGGCCCCCTGTGGCCTGGGGCGTGGGGAGAAACTGTGCATTTTAGAAGTTTGAGGAGTTGGTTCGAAGGTGCCCTGTGGAGGCTGAGGAGGCAGGCAGGACTCTGCAGACAGACCAAGTGTGGCTGCTTGGCCATCTGGGTGCTGTCCCCTCCTGTCTCCATCTGTCTCCGCAGATCCAGGGTGGGCAGAGGTGGCCCGTGTCTGAGCAGGCAGCACTCGCTGCTGCTGCTGGCTCATCACCCGCGGCCCCTGGTCCACCTGGTAGCACGTCTGGGAACAGGCTGGAGGCTGGTGACAGCTGAACTGGTCTGGACGAAGGTCCCTGTGCGGGCCCGGCCGAGCCTCGCACCAGGTCTGGTCTGGGCGAAGGTCCCTGTGAGGGCCAGGCAGAGCCTCGCACCAGGTCTGGTCTGGACGAAGGTCCCTGTGCGGGCCCGGCCGAGCCTCGCACCAGGTCTGGTCTGGACGAAGGTCCCTGTGCGGGCCCGGCCGAGCCTCGCACCAGGTCTGGTCTGGACGAAGGTCCCTGTGCGGGCCCGGCCGAGCCTCGCACCAGGTCTGGTCTGGGCGAAGGTCCCTGTGAGGGCCAGGCAGAGCCTCGCACCAGGTCTGGTCTGGACGAAGGTCCTGTGCCGGCCTGGCCGAGCCTCGCACCAGGTCTGGGAGCCCAGGGCCTGGCCCAAGGCCCTCTCAGGCTTGACACCCAAAGCATGGGACTGTCCCCAGGTCCTCTCTGGGCTCCTTCTAGGATGGTTCTGAGACCTTGGCCAGAAAATAACTTCTGCCAGCCTCCGGAGCTGGCCTTGTCCCTGGGGTGCAGCCAGGAAGGTGACTCCATGTGCCCAGAGAAGCCAGGGAGACTGGCTAGTGGGCAGTGGGAAGGAACCGCCCAGGGGCTCCCTCCAGGGCTCCTGTGGTGTCACCGGGGAAGGGCCCACGGAGCCTTTCACATGGTGGCAAGCAGGTCAGGTCACAAGGTCACCCTCCCACTGTCTGGCATCCGCGTGATGTCACGGCGCGGAGCGGTCTCAGGCCGTTCAGGAGACATCTTCAGAGAGGGACCTTCACCCATTCCGTGAGGTCACTAGGAGCGGGCCGTCGGCTACTTCGGGCCATGTCGCGAGGCCTTCTGGAACCTCGCGGTGTGTGTGCGGTCACCGCGGGCGGGTCTCCACGGCATTCCTGGCGCTGTGCAACCTGAGCCGTCCACCTGAGGCTCCTGGGCTGTTCCAGGGTGGGCTGTGCCTGGCATTCTGCGTGATCCCCTTGGGAGCAGGCCCCCAGACTCCAGCATCCTGTGATGTCAGTAGGGCGCAGGACTTGGGAGCTGGCCCCCACGTGTCCCTCCCCTTCCGGAAGGATGACGCCAGCCTCCTCGCGGCAGCTCCAGGCCTCCCGCTCGGGCGCTCGGAGGGGTGTTCGTCCCGCCCGCTGCCCTGGCAGTGTCTTGTGCTGATGCTGCATCGTGGCTCCTGCCCAGCCCTCCAGGATGCAGTGTGCAGGAGGCAAACAGGTGTAACGAACAGCCCCCAAACCTCCACGGCTCAGCCCAGCGGAAGCCCACCCCTCGCTCACGCTGCACCCGACGCAGAGCTTGTCTGTCGCTGTCCTCAAGCAGCAAGGCCATGGTGCAGTCCCTGCTCGGGCTCGGCTGTCCTCCTCTGGTCCTCTGCCTCCAGTCGGCCGGCAGGAGGAGAGCAGATGGCCAGGGCGGCCGCGCAGGACCCGCGGGGCCTGCCCCTCCCCCGCCCGCGCCCCACTGGCTGAGCCAGCCCCGCGGAGCAGGCAGACAGGAGGCGCTGGGACACGAGCTGGCAGTGCGCCGACCACCCGACGAGGACAAGGCAGCAGGCCTCTGCTGGCGTCCCCGGTGACCCTCCCGAGAGCGGGCCCCGCCCAGCCCAGCCTTCCTGTGCTCACCCCGGTCTCCCCTCCTCTCAGATCACGCCGGGCAGCAAGGCTGCCCAGTCCCAGCTCAGCCAGGGCGACCTCGTGGTAGCCATCGACGGCGTCAACACAGACACCATGACCCACCTGGAGGCCCAGAACAAGATCAAGTCCGCCAGCTACAACCTGAGCCTCACGCTGCAGAAGTAGGTGCAGCTCTGCGGAGCGGGGAGGCGGGGCGCTGGGTGCCCAAGGGAGGGGCTGCCTGGCAGCAGCAAGACCTCGCGGGGCAGTAGGAACAGCCCCTGGACCAGAGGAAGGGCCAGGCCCCGGTCATGGTGAAGTGCCTGCCTATCTCCGCTTCACTTGCTAGGCGAGGCTCAGGGGGGTTTGGGGCTGCCAGTGTGGGGCCATCAGCCCGGAGCCTGGCAGCCTCCCCAGGCTCCAGCAGAGGCCCCCCCGGGCTCCAGCGGAGGCCCCCCCGGGCTCCAGCAGGGGCCCCCCCGGGCTCCAGCAGGGGCCCCCGGGCTCCAGCAGGGGCCCCCGGGCTCCAGCAGAGGCCCCCCCGGCCTCCAGCAGAGGCCCCCGGGCTCCAGCAGAGGCCCCCCCAGGCTCCAGCAGAGGGCCCCCCGGCTCCAGCAGAGGGCCCCCCCGGGCTCCAGCAGAGGCCCCCCCAGACTCCAGCAGAGGGCCCCCGGGCTCCAGCAGAGGCCCCCCCAGACTCCAGCAGAGGGCCCCCGGGCTCCAGCAGAGGCCCCCAGACTCCAGCAGAGGCCCCCCCCGGGCTCCAGCAGAGGCCACCCCAGACTCCAGCAGAGGGCCCCCCGGGCTCCAGCAGAGGCCCCCCCAGGCTCCAGCAGAGGCCCCCCCAGGCTCCAGCAGAGGCCCCCCGGGCTCCAGCTGAGGCCCCCCCCAGGCTCCAGCAGAGGCCCCCCCAGGCTCCAGCAGAGGCCCCCCCCAGGCTCCAGCAGAGGCCCCCCCAGGCTCCAGCAGAGGCCCCCCCAGGCTCCAGTAGAGGCCCCCAGGCTCCAGCAGAGGCCCCCCCAGGCTCCAGCAGAGGCCCCCCCCAGGCTCCAGTAGAGGCCCCCAGGCTCCAGCAGAGGCCCCCCCAGGCTCCAGCAGAGGCCCCAGGGCTCCAGCGGAGGCCCCCGGGACTGCAGTGCCCAAGGTCACGGCTTCTCCATGCGGTCAGACCCAGCGGCTCCTGGAGACGCCCCGCCTGCTCAGTGGGCCATGGGCCTGGCTGGGGCCCCAACACGCCCCTGCCGCCCTGCCCAGCCCTGCCCAGGTGGGAGCTCCTGCCCAGGCGCAGCTGCTTCACCTGGTGTCGGTTCTGGTTCCTGCAGGTCGAAGCGGCCCGTCCCCATCTCCACGGCGCCGCCCCCGGTCCAGTCTCCCCTGCCGGTGATCCCCCGCCAGAAGGTAGGTGTCGGCTGACAGTGGCACACCCCACTCTCAGATGCGGCTCTCGGGGTGCAGCCCATGGCAGGGGTCAGCCCTACCCCACACTGCCCCTCTGTAGCTGACCCCAGGAAGTGGGCAGGCCCCCGTGACATCCCGGGTGTGGAGTGTCGCCTGGGGGCCGCCTGCCAGGGCCTCGGGCGGGGCTCACACAATACCAACTTGGGCAGCCATGTCCTCAGGAGGGGGAGCCTCTCAGCCAGGCGAGACCGGTGTCCAGAGGCTCTGACCCTTGTCTTCCTGAGGCCCAGGGGAGAGGGGGCTGTGGCAGGACAGCCAGAGCCCCAGCTGGACCGGGCACCCCGGGAGCAGCTCCTCGGTGTGGAGGGCCTGCCGGCCCTGGGGCCCCTCTGACGGGCTCTCTCCCTCTGAGTCCCTTCCTCCCCAGGCAGCCCACGCGGCCCGCCCAGAAATGCTGGTGGTGGCCCGAGGCGGCACAGGGGAGAAGGGGGAGCCCAGGCCACAGACACCCCTGCCCCCCGTGCCCAGGCTCCTTCCCAGCTTCCCCTGGCAGCTCAAAGCATGGGGCCCTCCGCACCCTCCCCGCGTGACCCCCGGCTCTTCCGTGAGGCAGAGGGGCAAGAGACAGGGAGGGGCAGGAGAGGGGCTGCCGGGGTTGGAGTGGATGCCACATAGGGGACTAGGCAGAAGGCCACTTGGGGGGCAGTTGCGGAGGTGAACCGAAGAACCAAATGTCAGCCCCCTGCTCCCGCAGTTCCCCGGCACCCCTCTCTGCCTGTCCACTGCCGGCTGGGGCCCCTCTGGCCATGTTGGGGTCCTCAGGGTGGGGTCAGGAACAGGAGGCTGGGCTGCGCCCGCCAGGGGCCTTGACTCGGGGGAGGGAACAGACACGGAGGGGAGTTGGGTCCCCTCCCCCCTGACACCACAGCCCCTCGTTCCGGCCCTTCCCCCCGCTGTGGGCAGGCTGGCTGGCTTGGCTTTGTGTGTGGGACTTGGCATCGTCCGGGCGCCAGCCCCGGAGCTCTGTGCGCCCCTCTCTTCCCGGCGCAGCCCCCGTCTCCCAGGTGCCCTGTCCGGCGCCGAGCTCAGGGCAGCGGCCGCAGGCGGCCCCCACACTGACCTGTCCCAGGTCCGCAGAGTCCCGGGAGGGGCGTGCCTCTAACTGCTCTGTTCTCTCTCCCCTGCATGGCGGCTCCCCGTGCCAGGACCCCGCTCTGGACACCAGCGGCAGCCCGGTGGCGCCCAGCCCTGACCCCGAGGCGAGGGCCGGCCCGGGCACCCCGGAGGTCAGGCAGACCTTTAGCTCCTCCTCTCAGACCTCCGTCTTCTCCTCCCACGCGGGGGCCTCTGACCCTGGCCCTCCACGGGGCAGCCCGGGGGCCAAGACCAGCCCGGAGGGGGCCCTGGACGCACTCAGCCCGACAGTGCCCATGGGCCCGAGCCGGCCCGGGCAGTATAACAGCCCCATTGGCCTGTACTCGGCAGAGACCCTGAGGGAAATGGCTCAGATGTATCAGATGAGCCTCCGAGGGAAGGCCCCAGGTGCCGGACTCCCAGGAGGGTAGGTAATGGCCACAGCTCTCCGCGGGTGGTCTGGGGCCACCTGGGTCCTCGGTGCTCACAGAGGCCTGGTCCGGTGGCCAGAGGAAGGAGCGAGCCTCAGTGCGCCAGCCCCAGCCCACGAGGCAGCGCAGGCTGAGCGGGAGAGCATCTCTCTGCGGCATTTGCTGGGAGCCGGGGGCATCGTTGCTTCACGCACCTGCCCTGCGGTGACCTGCCACTTTTTGCAGAGGGGAAACTGAGGCTTGGAGAAGGTCAGGTCGAGGTCCAGCTGTCCAGCTACTAAGTGGCCGAGCTGAATGCAAGAGACTCTGACGCCCCAAGCTGTCACAGCCGCCCCCCAGGACAGGACACAGCTGCTGCCCCCAGGGCTCTGGGCAAGGGGACGCTCGTCCTCACCTCCGGGAGCCATGGCAGGAGCAAGGAAGGAGGAGAGGGGAGGGTGTTCTCCAAGGCTGTGGGCTCCAAGCGGTGGGCATGTGTGAAGGGCATGGCTTGCTGGGGTGGCACCGGCAGGAACGGAGGAAGGGGTGTGCAGAGCAGCAGCGCCCCTACCCCCGGGGGTGCAGCTGGAGGGACCTTGTGCACAGGAGTTAAAAACCCCTAGAGCCAGTAGGCGTTGAGGGGGGCTGGGCGAAGGAGACCCCTCGCCGAGCACGGGTCAGTTTCTGAGTCCTCGGCCTTAGCTCACTTTAGCATCTCCATGGCCCTGTGCAGTGGGTCCGACCCTCTCCGACCACTGTGTGCCAGGAGCCTGGCAGGCTGGTGGTCCAGCGGTTAGGAGCACGTGCACACGGACCTGCCCGTGCCTGGGTTCCGGGGGCCAAAGGAGGCAGCGTGTGCACAGGGCTGAGCTCTGCTCTGCACACCCCACGTGGTCCGCCTGCCGCCGGGGCCGGAGGCACGCAGATGGCACACCCGTGAGCCAGGAGAGCAACCCAGCTCAGTCTGACCCAAGCCCATGCCCTGTGCCACTGAAGGTACCAGTGCCCACCGCTCACCGCCCCCTGGAGATCCCCGCCTCCCTAGATCCCCAGCTCCCTCAGACCCCCAGTGGAGCCGCCTCGGGCACTCCGCGCTGTGAGTCCCTGGCTTCCGGGCCGAGGTAGCAGAGCTGTGTACCCCGGGTTGTCCCAGCAAGGAGCTTTCCCAGAACACCCAGGGAGTCAGAGTAGAAGTGGCCTCCTCTGCCCTGGATGGGCTGGTGACCCTCAGTCCCCCGGGGACTGGCCCTGAACCCCTGAGGCCTCGGAGCCCTCAGCTGGGCTGGCACCTTCTAACAGTCCACGTGCTTAGCTAACACATCTCTCTGCAGCTTGAGGCGGGCACCACCTCTCCCTATGTCATAGCTGGAAACAGAGGCCCAGAGAGAGTGAGTCATCTGCCCAAGGTCACACAGCCAACAGGTGGCAGATAGGACTGGCCCCAGGTTGACCTGACTCCTCCCTGCATGGAGACCGGGACCCACCTACCTGTCCTGGGAAGTCAAGGGCCAGCTCCCCCCAGTCCCCATGACTCCCAAGGTGCCCTCCTATTGGCACAGGGGCCTCTCAGAACCTGGCAGGTGTTCCGGTGTCACCGGACACTCGGACCTTCGGAGGCACTGCTGTCTCCGGGCAGTGCCCCGGCAGGGGCGGAGCCTTTGAGCCGGGCCAGCCTGGGCAGCCTCTGCTGCCTGCGGCACCTCCACCACCACCAAGGGTCTGGCTGCCTGAGCCTGCCCCAGGACACTAACCCACGCCGGGGCTTTGCTACCACATTCTGTTTGGCCTGCACGGCCCTTCTGGGCCGCCGGCATCGCCGTCTTGATTTTGTGAATGAGGACAGAGGCTGACGCAGGTGGGCAACTTGACCAGAGTCTCAGCGCTAGGAAGAGGCAGGATCGGGGCTCGAACTCTGTCCTGTCCGGCTTTAGAAGGAAGTTCCTTCCCCTGCTCTCTCTCTGAGTCGTTCGCAGTGTGTTCCTTGGTGGCTTCTGTCCTCGGGGACCCGGAGCAGAGAAAACGTGGTGCAGGCAGCGGGCCTGGGCACCCCAGCAGCCCTCTCTGTGTTCTCTCTGGGGCGGGGCCCAAAGGGCAGCGTCCATGAGGCCACCTCGGCGCCAGGCCCCGGGCAGGTCTCAGCCTCGGGTCGTCCTCCCCTAGACCTGGGAGCTGCCTCCTGTCCGAGCTGTCTGCTGCGGCCTTCCAGCCTCCAGTCTGCAGGGGGAGCTAAGCAGGGGAGGGATCCATGCCAGAGGAGGGGCTGGCTGCCCGGGCAGGGCAGAGGAGCCCCCGAGGTAGCACTGCCCTTGGCAGGGGGCACGGCTGGTCAGCTGTCAGCACTGGCCAAACATGGAGCCGGAACGGGAGGCCCGCGCAGGCCCTGGCCCAGCTGGCTCCCCAGGCAGCTATTTTGAGACTGGGAAACAGTGAAATCTTATCAGCTCTGAGACAGGGGCCCCTGGATCCCCAGGGTCTCGGCCAAAGGATGACCAGGGCCAGGCCATCTGGGGCCCAGGCTCCCCCAGTCAGAGCCCACAGTGGTCAGACCTGAGAAGGAGGCAGGGTTTGGGGCGAGGACGCTGTGCACATTCTTCTGCCCCTCACCCCTCAGGCTGCAGACACTGCCAGGGTCTGCCCGGCCAGGAATTCGTGCTCAGAGATGTCATGTGGGCAAAGCCTCCGCCAGGGAGAGGGCGTTCCAGGAGGCTCCCTCGAGGAGGGTGCAGGGGCCCAAGCTGGGCCCCTGGCTGGAGGCTTTCCTGCGGTACCTTCTGAGCCTCCTTGCTCCGCCGTCCTGCCTGTTGCCTGCTCACAGGGCCTTCAGGAGCAGGCACCGGAGACTGCGTGGACTCCCTGCCCTGACCCCAGGACTGGCCACAGCCGCCTGCCCTCCCCTGTGGGCGACCCCACCTCACAGACACCCAGCTCCTGCTCAGGGAGCACTCCCAGGCTCCCCATGAAACCAGGGCGGTCCAGAGGGGCCATCTGGCCCGGAGGCACGTGGGTCCTTGGCCGCAGCGGCTGGTCCTGCTTCTCTCCGAGTCCGCAGCCAGGCTGCAGGTGGCGTGCATGTCCTCACTGTCCTTAACGATGAAATCCCTGCTCGCAAAGCTCTGGGTTCTAGGGACCGACGGAGGGGAACTGCCGCCGGCTTGAGCCAGCGGGGAGCGCTCCGCTCCTCTGTGCGCCCTCCTCCGGCCAGCCTGGGCTGGCTCTGCCTCCGCATGGCTCGGGCAGGGGCCGCGCTCTGACAGCCGTCTTCTCTGCTCTCTCCTCCCAGGTGATAGCCAACTCGCCAGCCAAGTTAGTATCGAAGGAAGCATGCGTGTGCTCTCGGTGCAATCCCGGCATGCGGTCTGGACGGCGTGTGCCTGAGCCAGCATGCGTACGTGTGTGCATGCGTGAGAGCGTGTGCATCGTCCCCCAGGGCGCCTGCATGTGTGTGAGGCTGTGAGTGCGGAGCGAGGCGCTGGGGAAGGGTGCTGGGGCTCCGTCGCGTCCGTCGGTCCGTCCGTCTGTTCCAGTTCCCTGCTGCCGCTGCTTCTGGCCAGCAGGCCGGCTCTGGGGCGGGGTGGAGTGCCGCACTGACCCGGGTTCTCTGTGAGCCTGAAGACCTCTCTGTCCCGGTGGGACTCTCAGGAGGGCCGCCCTGGCCTGGTCTTCGCTGGCGCGCACGCCTGCCCGGCGGCCACACAGCGAGCTGGACGTGCGGGGCTGATCCGAGCCCTGCTCTGCGGCAGGAGCATGAGCACTGAAGCATCTGCAGGAGCAGGACCCCGGCCACTGCGGGAGTGGCCGGCAGCATGAGCCCCTCGTTGAGGAGCCGAGCTCTCGATCTCCATGGTTGCCCAGTGGGGCTGTTTTTGGACTGTGGGGAGTCCTGGACTCTGCTTGGGCTGTAGCTGCCTGATACCCTGGCCCAGCTCCTGTCCCCTGCTCCCAACCCCCACTTCCCAAGTCTTTCTGTCTCTGCTTCTCTGCTGGTGTGGCGAAAGCTTCCAGTGCCTGGCGCCCCCTGCTGGCCCTGAGCGGCAGCTCAGCCTGAGCCGCGAGACGTCCAGGGATCTGATCTGGGAAGGCCCAGATGGGCCAGAAAAACCTCTGCAGAGGGATTTGGGGAGGGTGCCAAGGATTTTCCTGACCACGGCCACCCACAATCAGGGGGACTTGGGCAGACTTCCTGGGGTCCGACTTTGGGGGATCTTTCTTGACACCCTCCCCCACCGGCCCTGGCCCGAACCTCCCAGGTAACGTGACCTGTTGCCCTTTTCTCCTTCGCCTCCCTGCCCACACCTCCCGCCACCTGCTCGCCGCCCCCAGTGCCGACTACCAGGAACGCTTCAACCCCAACGCCCTGAAGGACTCGGCCCTGTCCACCCACAAGCCCATCGAGGTGAAGGGGCTGGGCGGCAAGGCCACCATCATCCACGCGCAGTACAACACCCCCATCAGCATGTACTCGCAGGACGCCATCATGGACGCCATCGCCGGGCAGGCCCAGGCCCAGGGCAGTGACTTCAGTGGGTAAGCGCCTCCCTCCGGGCTGCTGCTGCTCACCACCGGCCGGCGGGCGCCGTCAGAGACTTCAGGGACCAGCTCTCCCCCTCGCCTCGGACCTCCGGGGCACAGCCCTTGTTGGGGAGCCGGCCTTGGCCACAGGGGCCCAGAACTCGGCGTGCTCTCTCGGGATCTGATCTCCGGGTCAGCGCTAGGAGGAGGGTGGAGAAATGCAGAATCCGTGATTCCTCCCGGGCTTGTCACCACCCCTGCGTTTCTCCGGGCTCCTGGGGTGGGTTCAGAAGGAGACTTCTGGAGTCTTGTTAACCAGAGTTGCGTTCCCATTCTGGATATTCCAGTCTTCCCGCAACCGAGCCTTTCTTTGGGGCAGTTGCTGCGTTCTTCCAGAGACAAGAGCAATTCCAACGCGCGCCTGGGTTTCTTGCTGAGGAAGGGCCCCTGGCTGACCCTCCAGGTGCCAGTCTCCAACGGCAGAGCCTGGGGCACCAGGCCTGGGCACCTGCCTTCTGTTTGCTCAGGGCAGTGGGACCAGGTCGGCCTTGGTTTCTGGATGTGCCTGTTATCAGTGGTCGTGGGACTTGAGGGCTGACTAGGGAAAGAGTTGGCTGCAAACCATTTGTAGACGAGACGGCTCACCGTGCAGACGTTAACAGGGGTGCACACCATTCACGGGGCCTCATCCTCCTTTGGCCTTTCTCTGTCTCTGTTTCCCTTTTTCTCTCTTTCTCTCTCCCTAGCTCTCTCTGTGTGTCTCTGTCCCTTTCTCTATTCTCCGTCTCTCTTGTCTCGCTCCTCCTTTCGTACACACACACACACACACACACACACACACGGTCTCTGACTGCTTCCCACTTGGGCATACCATCAGTGCTGACTTTCGGAACTGACTGATGATCTCTTTGGCCAACATCTTATCCCTGAGTCAGCAGCCCCAGCCACTCACGGCAAAGCATCTGAAAACGATGCACTTTTTTTCTGAAGTTAAGAAAAGCAGAGGTTGTAAGAGGAATTCAGGGTTAAAAGTCCCAGAAAACTGCAACTGTGTTCGACCTTTCTGGGACCCAGCCCTGTGCCCATGCTGTAAGTGCAGGTCAAAGGCGGGACGGCTCCTGCCCTGGCCGGTTTGGCTCAGCGGTTAGCGCATCGGTCTGAGTCCCATGTTCGATTCCAGCCAAGGGCACGTACCTCGGTTGCGGTTCTTCCCCAGTCCCAGTTGGGGTCGTGTGGGTGGCAAACAATCGATGTGTCTCTCTCACATCAATGTTTCTCTCTCTCTCTCCCCCTCCCACTCTGTCTGAAAATAAATGTAAAAATATCCTCGGGTGAGGATGAAAAAAAGAAAGAAAGAAGTAGAGAAAGAAAGAAAGAAAGAAAGAAAGAAAGAAAGAAAGAAAGAAAGAAAGAAAGAAAGAAAGATGGGAGGCTCCAGAAGCCAAAGGAAGGGGAGCCTGGCTTCTTTTTTTTTTTTTTTTTCTTTATTGATTTTAGAGAGAGAGGAAGGGAGAAGGAGACAGAGAGAGAAACATCGCTGAGAGAGAACATGATTGGCCGCCTCCTGCACGCCCCCCACTGGGGATGGGCCCACCACCTGGGCATGTGTCCTGACCGGGAATCAAACCAGTGACCTCTTGGTGCAGGGTCGATGCTCACCACTGGGCCACACCAGCCAGGTGAGAGTCCGGCCTCTTAGGCATGCAGGGCCCACTTGGCCACCAGGGGACAGCGGCTGCTAGCCCTGGAGCTGTGGGTCTCCGGACTGGCCGGCTCAGGCAGAGCCCCGGGCCGTGTGGACTTAATTCCATCGTTTGCAGCGGCAGTAGTGACAGTAGTGACGCTGCGGGTTTACAAACAGCCATTATCTCACGAGCACCCAGAAAAACAAAGCTGCCTGGCTCAGCCGAGGATGACAGGGATTTCCTGTGACCAGCCGTCTGCCACAGCAGGTGGCCAGTGTGTCCTTGGCGTGTTCCTAGTGGTAACAGCCGCCACAGGGGAGTTCAGGGAAGACGCTGGGAGAACTCTTCAGGAGAATGAAATTCTCCGCACCTTGGGAAAGAGTGCAATTACTAGGTGCTACCACTAGGGGAGCCACGCTTTTCCTTTTAACGTGATGCACCGCAGATCTTACCTGGTCCTCCGGAAGGACCTTTCCCATCCTGCCGGCTCCCTTCCCTGCCTTCCCCACCCCTGTGTGCCCGGGAAGCGTCACTCCTTCTCCTGCTCGGACCTGCAGGCTGGTGCTGCTTGGTGCCGGGTCCGAGCTGGCCTCTGCAGGGGGCGCTCCGTTGCTGCTGGGGTTCCCGCCACCCCTTCCTCACTGACGGTTTTCTCTTTGTCTCTCTCTCCCTCCTTGGTCCACCCCGCTCCGTAACTCATTCCGACCCCACCCCTGCCCCTGTGTGTGCGCCATCCCTCGCCACCCCCGATGGACACACACTCACTGCTGGGCAGGGCGTCACCGCTGGCGTAAGTAGACCCCAGTGTCTGTTCCGTCGTCCGTCTGTCTGGTCACGAGGTCGCGTGTGGTTCGGTGGGATGTGTCTGAGGACAGTGCCTCCCTGTTCTTCCTCACACCCACCTCAGCCTGTACAGCCTTGTCTTTTGGGGGTGGCCCCAAATGATGTCACTATGGATGCAGCTGAGAGCAGAGGCCTCACGGTCCCTGAGGCCGGGAGTGTGTTCCCCTTGCCATGCTTCGCGGGGGTCGCCCCAGCCTTCTCCGTGTGCACGGAGGCACCACCGGCCTGAGTGTCAGCATCCGCACTGGGCCATCACTCAGGGGAGGGGCGAGAAGGGGCCTGATAGAGGCCACTCCCCAAAATCTTCATGGACATGGACCTGAAGGAGCCAAGACCACCCAAGGGAGGCAGAAGATGAGTCGGGTTCGAGGGCGGTGTGAGAGGCATAAATGCCCGTGGTGACCGCGATCTGCAGTGACTATGGAGTGTTTTGGTGGCAAGAAGAATGCTTGGGGGAGGGGCAGAAAACAACCTCAGACCCCGGTCCAGGGCTGTGGGCCTGGTCCGCTGGCTCGGAGCGCACCTCCTCCCTGAGCCCCGGAGTCTGGAGAGGAACAGGGTCCCTTCCCTGGACGCCGGCCCCGTTGCCGCGGCACCTGCCCGGGCTCTGCACAGTGCGCAGGGAAGAGCCCACTGAAGCCCCCGACCGGCTCTGGCAGCTCTCCGGAGCCCTGGCAGCTCCAGAAAACGGAGCAGCTGCAGAGCAGGGTCCGGGAGGTGGCAGCAAGCGTCTGCTCTCTGGACCACAAAGCTCGTGCAGGCCGTTCACAGACAGGGCCGGGGCTTTGGCACCGTCCACACTGCCCCCTGGCAGGACAGGGAGTCCTGACTGCCTTCCCATTGCCTCCGCTGGGCTGCAAATGGCATCCCTCAGCAACATGCCACCCCTCTATTCCTGGAAGCCCCAGGCTCCCCCCTGCCTGGACCCCCAGGGACCCCAACCACAGGCTGCTGCTGCCTGCGGCTCCGGGCCAGGGCACAGCCTCAGGGGAGGGGGGCAGCTCCACCCATCTGTCACTGTGTCACCTCTGCTGTCCGAGCCCACCCTGAGCCAGACACAGGGCGTCAGTGCTGAGAGACCCTGGGAGACAAGGCCAGGGAGGGAGAAGACATGGGAACTGGGGAGCCCCTCTCCTACCAGCGGGCCCACAGAGGCAGGCAGGGGGGCTGGGCTGTTTCTAGGCGTAGAGCACTGGGGTGTACCAGGCCCGGTGTGCAGAAGTGGCCTTTCTGAGCCCTTGTCACTGCAGAGGGTCTGGTGGAAAGGACACTGGGCTGGGAGCCGGGAAGCCTGGGTTCTAGGCCTATCGGGGCCTATGTGCTGTGACCGGGAGCTAGTCTTCTGTCTCTCTGGGTCTCAGTTTCAGCATCAGTGTCTGGGCCGGGCTGCCGGCTGGGGAGGCAGGCCGCTAGGCCACTATCTCTGAGAGCGCATCCGAGTCCAAGGCAGGGGGCTGGGCCGTCTGCAGACTCTAGCCCTTCCTGGCCAGGGTGAGCGGGCACCCGTAGAGCTTTGGATATATCCTGCCTGGTAGTCTGGTCCCGGCTGGGAGGCACTGAACCCAGGCGGCTCTGGGGTCCTTGGGGCTCTGATATAGGGTGAATTTATTCCGCTAAGTTCTGAGCACCTACTCCAGACCCCCGGAGTCTAAGGGAAGGGAAGGTCACCAGGTCCCTCCTGAAGGGCCGGGGCAGAAGGCTAGTGACCCTCCTGCAGCTCCACTCCCAGCGCCCCTGGCCAGATGCCCCGTCTGCAGGTGACACCCAGCACAGGGCTCGGCTGCTGTGTGGCCCCCCTGCTGTGGCTGAGCCGAGGCCGTCAGAGCACTGGGTCCACCCCGAGGAAGCCTCCAGTCCCCGGACAGCCTGTCCTCACGTAGCCCCAAGCTCAGGGCCTGCTCAGGGAGGTGGGAGCTACTTCGAGAAGGGTCTTCTGCATTCTGTCTCCTTAAAGGAGACTCAGAGCCGAGGAGGGGTGCCTCCGGGTCGGCTTCCACAGCTGCAGGGAGAGGGTCTGGCTGGAGGGGTGGTGCCTCCTGCCCTCGCGACGGGGCCCCTGTGTGACCGAGACCAGCCCGAGCACCGAGGACCCGGCCACGCCCTTGCCCCGCTCAGGTGGCAGCGGTGGAGGCGGGGTGGGGTCAGACCGGAGGGGCCGCCACAGGGTGCGGGGTGGGGGTGTGAGGGGCTGGGGCAGGGGCCAGCCTCCCCTCGCCCACGGTGACCTCCCGCATCGCAGGAGCCTCCCTATGAAAGACCTGGCTGTTGACAGCGCCTCCCCGGTGTACCAGGCTGTGATCAAGAACCAGAACCGGCCGGAAGACGAGGCTGATGAATGGGCCCGCCGCTCCTCCACCCTCCAGTCTCGCTCCTTCCGCATCCTGGCCCAGATGACGGGGACGGAGTACAGTGAGTGGGGGCGGGGGGTGCAGAAAGGAGGGTGCGCAGCCCACAGAAGCCAGGCCCAGCCCCTGGCCCACGGACAGCAGCTGGCCTTGCTGAATAAACATCGGCCTGCTGAGCCCCGTCTGGCTCTGGGCAGGCAAATGCCCCAGCCTCCTGGCCGAGCTGGCACGGTGTGTCCGGCGGAATGACCGCCCACAGGTGGGGGAGAAGCCTCACAGGCCGCAGCCTGCCCACCCCACCTAGCTGCGCCTTTGCTCCCACACCCCGCTCCTGCCCTCTGCCCGCACACGGCCTTTCCTTGCGGGTCTCCGGCCGGGGAGCACTGACTGTCGTCTCTGCCGGGACCCCAGCGCCACAGAGCTCTGAGGTTTTCTCCCTGGGCTCCCCGGGCTTCCTCCTGACCAGAACTTTCTGCCCGCAGTGCAAGACCCCGATGAGGAAGCCTTGCGCAGGTCCAGGTAAGTGCCTGGACTCAGGCTCGTGGCCTTGCCCCCAACCCCATCCCTCCCCGGCAGCCCCAGTCACTGCTTTACGGAAGGAACCTCTCAAGTTCACGCAGCAGAATCTCCTGGCCCCGGGAGCTTCAGCAGACGTGGGTTTGGTCCCGGGGCAGCGAGGGGGGTGCCTGGTGCCGAGTCTGTCCCCCGGCCCGGGCTGCAGGAGTGAGGATTCTGGGGTCTCCTGGCTCTGCCTGTGGGCAGGGGGCAGGGCTGCTTTGGCCTTTGCTGGGCTGTGAGAAGAGGGCATCTCTCCCTGCGAGGGCACCGAGGCGGCCGCCCTGCCTGTGTGCCCTGTGAGGGTGCAGGCCGGGCGCCGGGCAGGGCCCTGGTCCTGGGCTCAGCTGTCAGACGTTGAGGTGTTAGTTCCACACACGGCCCCAGTGCAGCAGCTCACGCAGGGCTAGGCGTCTCAAGGTCAGGCCCGAGGCCACAGCCACTAACTTGCCACGTGTGGCCTGCCAGGCGCTCGTGGGCCACGGTGCGAGGGGCACGCTGCCTGAGAACCCGGGGGGCCTTCCGTGTGGCATGGAGCCCAGTGTGACTGCTTTGGAGGGAAGTGTCAGCTGCTTGTTCTTCCCGGGAGAACCTGCCCTGGGTCTGTGCGTCTGTGTGAGGCTGGGTCAGACATGTTCTCCCACTCGGGGCCACGCTGTCTGTACTGCTCCCGTGTCGTGGCCACAGGACTGCGGAGCGTGGGACTCTGGCGTCAGCGGGAATTCGCGTGGGTTTTCTTCTCGAACCCGTATTTTTGCCAATCTAAATTGCTCCCACTCTTTGGCTGGGGCTTCCAAGCCGAAAGGGGGTCCTTCCAGCCTGCTCACAATGGCGTGCAGTTCCGGTGACAGTTCTGACCCCGCTGGGCCTGCAATCCGTCCATACGCGCCGGAAATGAGATGGTGTTTGAGCTCAGAAGTTACTCTTTAGGTTTTTTTTTTTTTTTAATTTATTGAGCCCTGGCTGGTTTGACTCAGTGGTTAGAGCATCGGCTCGCAGACCAGAGTCCTGGGTTCAGTTCCCGCTAAGGACCTGGGTTCGGTTCCCACTAAGGGCAGGTACCTTGGTTGCAGTTTGTCCCCGGCCCTGCTTGGGGTCGTGTGGGTGGCGACCAATTGATGTGTCTCTCTCACATCGATGTTTCTCTCTCTCTCTTCCCCCTCTCTCCCTCCCGCTGTATCTGAAGATAAATGCAAAAATGTCCTCGGGTGAGGATAAAAGAAAAAAAGTATCTAGGTATTTTTTTCTTTCAAATTTATTGCTTGATTTGAGAGAGAGAGAAATGTTGTTGCACTTACTTATGGATTCAGCTGTTGAGTCTTGTATACGCCTTGACCAGGGATCACACCCACTGAGCCACCCGGCCAGGGCCAGTGTCTAGCTGTCTTCAGTGTGACCACCTGTCAGCTCTGCGGCCTTAGCCAGGCCTGGTGGAGCCTCGCAGCGCCCTCCTCAGGGCAGATGGCGTCCGTCCTGGGTTCCGCCAACGAGAAGCCACAGTGACTTGAGCTCCCTCCTGTGAGGCAGCCGCTCCCTGGCCCCGCCGACGCACTCCGGTCGCCGCGTGTCCCTCCAGCAGGTCCCTCTGGCAGGTCCCTCCGGCAGGTCCCCCCCAGCTTGCACCCCATTAGCTGGACACAGCTTGGGAAGCAGGGGTGCTCGTGCAGGTAGCTTGCAGGCGACTCCGAGCCGCTGTCTTTCTCCCGGAACGTTCTGGGCCCTGAGGAGCCGCTGAGTGAGGAGCACGAAAGGCAGTCTTGTCGGTGGTCCCCAGGCCTCGTCGTCGGCTTCCCCTTCCTGGCTTCCAGAAGCATCTCCGGGGCCCATTAGAGAAGGGAGGGCTAGTCCTTCCCAGTCCCCAGCAGAAGGCAGGGGACGCGGGGCCCTGAGGCTGTGGCAGATCTCAGAGCCTCTCCCCAGCCCCTGTGGGGTCTTGTCAGGAAACCTGGACCTGGGGGCGTGAGGGGCGGAGGCTGCGGAGCTTCTCTCTGTCTGACGGGAGCCCCCTGCCGGGACTGTGGCCACCGGTCACGGGCAGGGCCCTGGGCTCACCGGCAGCCATCTGAGCAGAAGGGGGCATGCGTGTCCGACCCTGGGTCCAGGCTGCTCGAGGGTCTTACTTTCCACAGGGGCTGAGCCCACACCTCTGTCCCCACTCCCAAGTCAGAAGGTTCACCCCTCGTCCCTGCTGACCCGTCTGTGGGCTGAGGGCAGCCTCGGCCCCTCTCCTCCTCCAGTTCCGCCACCTGGCAGCCAGGAGAGGCAGGCTCTCCTGCTGGTGAGGCTCCGGGGGCGCCCTCAGCAGAGCCGGTTTGCGGACGCTGGGGGCTGGCAGCCTGCAAGGTGTGTCTGCTTCCCTTGCTGGGTGGTGGGCAGCAGAGCCGGCGGCTGGGCCACACCAGGCGGCACGCTGGCGGCTCAGGGGCCTGTGTACGTCGGTAGACCCTGCACTCTCCCCTTCTCTGGACACCCCGAGGCCTGGGGTTTGTCCTCCATAGCCCTGCCCTCTCCCCGCCCCTTCTCCTGCACCGGCTCCTTACCCTCTGGTGCTGTGCGGGTGCCTCTGGGATCTGGTAGCAGGCAGCTTTCCTCCAGGGCTCCAGGGCTCAGCTGCCAGCCGGGGAGCCTGCCTTGGCAGGGAAGGGCTCCCATCCCAGGAGAGACCCGGCCCCTTAGCACACTGCCCAGGGGGGCTCCCGCCCCAGCCTCCTGACCGCTCCCACATGGACGCTCTCATGGGTGCAGGTAGTGCTGGGCTCCTGGCCTCCGGCCCCAAGCTGGACCTCTAATCCCGTGCTGGGGGCATTCTGGGGCCCTGATGGCGTGGGACGTCAGGCCCGCGTGGGGCAGCCTGGGGGCTTCATCCCAGGCAGGGATGAATGTGTGAGGCATCTGGGTCCCACTGGGCACAGCCACCCCAGAGGACCCCAGCGTGCAGCCCAGAGATCCCCTGGCCCCCACCTTGGGGGCAGCCATCCAGGAGTACAGTCTGTGTTTACCTGGTGCTCACCTGGATAAAGAACCTTGGTCTCTCAGTCCCCAAGAGTTAGGAACAAAGCTGACTTTAGTGATGCGTTCACAGAGGAGCTGAAGGAGAGGGCAGCCTTGCTCACCCCTCCACAAACCCCCTCCCCTGAGCCACCACCCACAGCTCTGCTCTCCTTACCCGCCCCCTTCCTGCAGAGCGGGCCTCCCTGGGCCCCGGCCTCCCTCACCGCGAACCCTCGTGACGAGCGTGGGCAGCTGTCTAGCAGAAAGTACCTGTGTTCTGTGGATATATTTGTCCTTGATGTTCCGCCAGCACAGACAGCTTGAAAAGCACACTGGGAAGACCAGGACAGGCCTCCGCGTCCCCAAGCAGCCCAGTGGCCGTCCGGGGCCTGCCTCCGTCTCGCTCTCTTCCCGTCCTCTCCCCTCTGCTCCTCACGCTTCTCTCTGGCTGCTGTGAGCTTTCAGACAGCTCCACGCAGAGCAGCTCACTAGACTTGAGATGCTCCAGACTGTCCCTTCCGGCCCTGGGCACTGATGGCAAAGGCCGCAGCCTGGCTGGACAGTGTGGCTGTGCGTGCTGGCGGGCGTCCTGGGACTGGCCCTGCGGACAGCGGGCCTGGCGGGGGCTGTGCTCAGCCTCTGGGTCCCTCCCGGACCGGAAGGGCTCTGACGCTGTCCCCTGCGGCTTCAGGCCGGTCATGACGTCTCTGGACCAGGGCTTCCTCCTGTTGCTAGGACAGTGGGAACATGGCCAGCAGTTTCCTGAGACGTGAGCAGCGGGCCCTTCTGTCCCAGAGTCGAGCAGTCAGCCGGCAGGACTCAAGGGGAGGGGCGTCCACCAGGTGATGCCGACAGGGGCGGGGGACACGGGGCTGTCAGCGCAGAGAAGGCACAAGGGCACTGCCCAGCCTGATTTTTAACGACCTGCAGCTGACCTTCCTCGTTTCATTCTGGCAACTGGCGCATGAAGCGCTCATTTCGAGGCAATGCAGATGGGCATGCGGTTGTCAGAAAGGAGAGTCGCTGCTGGTGATGTCTTGTCCCAGCCAGGGTGGCAACGCTGACAGTCGGGTGCGCGAAACCCCCGTGGTGCGCACCGCCTCTCCCTGACCGGCGGCGTGGCCGCCACGCACCGTTACCTTTTCTCCACGCCTATCGTTTTGTCATTTCGAGACTGTCGTGTAAGTCTGATCACACAGCCTTCGACCCCATGGGGCCGGAGTTTTCGGTCGGCCTCGTTCCCTGGGGATGCGCCCGAACCGTTGGGCCTGCCAGGGGCTCGTTCTCGTCTCTCTGCAGTCCACGGTCTGGGTGTGGCAGTTACTTTTTAAAAAGAGTTTAGCCCTGGCCGGTTTGGCTCAGCGGTTAGAGCATCAGCCTGCGGTCCTGAGAGACCCGGGTTCGGTTCCCGCTAAGGGCGCGTACCTCGGTTGCAGTTTGTCCCCGGCCCTGGTTGGTCGTGCGGTGGCAGCCACTCGATGTGTCCCTTTCACATCGATGTTTCTCTCTCTCTCTCTCTTCCTCTCTCTCCCTCCCACTCTATCTGAACAAAAAATGGAAAAATGTCCTCGGGTGAGGATAAAAAAAAAAAAAAGAGTTTAAACACTGTCCAGGCTAAATGCATGGCATCTGTGGCTGGGCGTGGCCCCCGAGCCCCCCATATGCCCCTCTGGTCTGAAGGCTGCTGGAGGCCCCTCCGGCCTGGGGGTGGGCGTCAGGACTCTGCATCCCCTGTTTCTCTCTTTCTGGCTGCTCCCCACCTGGTTGTCTCGTGGTGAGCCCCGAGGCCCTGCGGTGGGAAGAGGCAGGGCGTCTGGCCCCCCGTGTGCCTGCGGCCTTGGGGTGTGTGTGTGTGCGCCTGGCTGTGCTCAGGCCTAGAAGCAGGGACAGTCAGTGCTGTTGGAAGGCTCTTCTCTGGGGACAGGAAGGTTGGCAGAGGTCGGGGCAGCACAGGGAGGTGACGAGTCTGCTCG